GGGCACCCAGGGCTATCAGGACATGCACGGGGCACCCAGGGCTACCAGGAGATGCACAGGGCACTCAGGTGCGGGCAGGGCTTGTGCAGGGAGCCAGTGCCCCCTCCTGGTATTTGCAACCACTGCTGCAGCAGGATGGCACGGCCAGGCTGGCACACAGCCCCGCAGCGCCTCTGCTCTGCCCCGGCCTCTCCTCAGGTCTTCCCCCTCCTCAGGGCTCAACCCCGGGACACACACCTATCCTGCCAGTTTGGAGAAACAGGGACCAAGGAGGGACCCATGTGGCTTCAACCCTGGGATGAAGAAACCTGAGACTGACAGYGTCCACAGGAGGGCACAAAATTCCTACAAATCTATTAATTTTTATAGTCCTCCCCCAGGATGGCCGATGTCCTCCTTGGTGCTGGTAGCACAGCAAGCAGGGTAGGGGGAATCTCCATATCTGTGAGCTGAGGTCACTTTTCCCCCTTTTCCCAAAGCACTTCCTGCAGCCCAGTGGGGCTCCATGGTCAAGCAGAAGCAGGGATGGGACCCACCAGCCCAAAGCACATCACTCAAACTCATCASAGCACAGACACATGCAGCACCACGGTGTGCGTGGGATTTTGGGTGGGGGGGGGCTCAGAGCAGTAGCCAGGTGCAGGCAGCCAGATGTGGGGTGCACAGTGCCAAGATTCCCTGCATCCCATCTCACCTCGGCACTGATGCTGTGCCGGGCATGCTGAGAACGCCACACATGCAGGAACACACCATGCACATGCATCGCTCTCCTGAGACCCCAAATGGTGCTTTTCACACCAAAAAGCTGCTCTCAGGAGAGGATCCCCAGCTCCTGTCCACACTCCTGCCAGGAACTGTGGGGATGGTGTAGCAGCAGGATCCCAGGATCAGCATCACCAGCAATCACAAGTGGCTCAAGGACCCTTTAAAGGGGCTGCCCATACAGCAAAAGGGCCTGTAAAGGCTTAGGCATCTTGTGCTGCAGCAGCCCCCTGTTTGCCTCACATCTCCYCCTAAACACATCTATCACAGCTCCTCCTCTCCCTTGCAGCCTTCTCCAGTGCTGCTACTAGACCAAGGTACAGGCAGGATGTGAAAGCCCCCATGGAAAAAAAAAAATGGTGCCTCCCTGCCAAGAGGAGCTGGGCATCTTCAGGAGGCTAAAATAGAGGATTTGAGAGGGGATCTCCCTTTTTTATTTACCACAGCCCCCACACTTTTGCTACTACACGTTAGTGGCATTGCTTGGGRCAACAGGATGGGGCCGGGAGAGATCTTGGTGTCACCATCCACCCRTGGTGGGTCCTTAGAGGATGGTACTGTGGTCCTGCATCTCTCTGGGTGAGGATGCAACTGTCACCACATCCTCCAGAAAGGAGCTGGGTTGCTATGGAGACCCCAGCGCATGTGCAGCCCTTCCAAGATGGGAATTTGCTCTCAAGACTTCAYATTAAAAATAAACTGTAAACAACTGCTAAAGCCATTCAGTACCAATGGATGAGGAGCCTGTGGCAGGGGTGCTGATCACTGTCAGGCACCAAGTCTAGACCCCATCCCTRTGCCATCCCCTCTCATCCTCCCAGCTATCCCTCCCATTTCAGCCAAAGGGCCTTGCTTTGGGGGTCTCCCCTCCAATAGACAGGGTAATTCTCCTCCCAGGAGGAATGGCACTGAAGGYATGCTGGGCTCTGCCATTCTCCATGTGCCCACTCAGTCTGAGCCATGGGTGAAGGACAACTCTAACCACACCCTGACAGGACCCTGAAYGTGCTCAACAACACAAAGCAATCCYGCAAAACCCAGMGATTCCTTCAYGTCTGCATGGAGTTYRGATGCAGGGGGAGCTGCCTCCCTGGTTCAATGACCAGTGCTTGTCCATCCTGCCTGGCAGGACAAGCCACCGTGAATATTTTAGGAAGCTCTCCTGTAGCTGGGATCYCCTTAGCAGGAGACTTTTGGAGGCAGTGGGAGTCAAGAGCAGGTGGAGAATGGTGGGCTGAGGGAGATGCCAATATGTTCTGCAGCAGGAGGTGATTCAGAGGCACTCCAGAGGCACCACCTTATCTCCCCAGCAGAACCCATCAGGAGCAGCCTAAAGGCATGGCCGGTCCTGGGCTCTTCTCCAGCCACAGAGGTCACTCCACTTTAGTTATAGCAAAAAWAATAGTGTGGAGCTATAATTATGGTCTGGTCTTAGTTCACCTGCAAGTTGAACCTGCACAAAACTGTTGTAAGAGGGCACAGAAATAGCTCTGCCGTGGCTTTCCAAGCTGCAGGAAGAGTTGACTGTCACATGAAAAAATACCTGTGCCAGCACTGTTTGCAGCTGAACCAGGGACAGAGGTGCCAAGGCTGCATTTGGGAGCACCATTCAAGTATTGCAACAGCAGTGGGATGGGAGACCATGGGCTGCTGCTCCCAGGGTGTTCTGCCCATCTCTCTGCCCACTGGCACAGTGCAGACACCCAGACTGCCACAGCCCATCACACCCCTCAGGAAAGGGGCCAGGAAAACACCCATTGCAGCCCTCGGTGCCCTGGTGTGCAGCCAGGTCCTCCTGTCAGAGCTGACTCCAGCCCTACTGGGCATCAGCTAAGGAGGAAACAGCAGTCCTGAACCACAGCCCAACATTTCACACCAAAGGCAATAAGGCACTCAAATCCCCAACACCAGCACAGCTCAGCTCTGAGATGGGTGAGGCCATGGGCACCAGTTTTAGTCAGTCACAGAGTCAGCATGTCACAGCTCCATGCACTGAAAACTGCTCCCCTACTCCTACAAAGCCTGAAACCTGGAAGAGCCCCAGAGGCTGCCTGTCCCACTCCTGTCCTTGGAGGTCCTGGGCTCCCACGGTGCTGGCAGGGCCACATGCAACCACCAGAAGAGGATGCACGTAGAGCAGGATGGGGTTGCCAGCCCAAAACCACCCCGCAGCTGAGGAGAGTGGGGTGAGAGGGAGAAGAGCAGCCATTTGCACAGAGATACAGCTGCCATGGATAGAAGGAAGTGGATGGGGTACTGCTGGGGTGGGGGGCTGCCCTGAGGCACAGAAACTACCAGAGCTGCAGAGGTGCATTGTAAGTGTGCAGGCAGAGGGGTGGAGAGTGGTGCACCTACCACTGGGTGAGAGCTGCTTCTGGACGCAGTGTCCGTGGTCATCCTCCTGGAAGGGGGGCAGGCAGGGCCCGCAGGCACCTGACCCTGGTGGGCAGAACTCTCGGCGCTGCAGGGCACAGTCCAGGCTCCGGGGACATGATGCTGCTGTGGGGACAGGAGAGAACAGCTCAGGAGGAGGAGAGGGGTCAAACATGCCCCAGGTCTGYTCACGGACTCTTGGAGTGGGATCCAGCTGCCCCAAGCTGCCCATGGCTGCTCCTGCTGCAGCTCCCAGCTATCGATGGGCTTCACCACAGCTGCCCCTTGACATGCTTTGCCTCCACGAAGCCATTGCAGGCTGCCATTGACAACAAGCAAAGGAGTTGGACTCAATGATCTTCATGGGTCCGTTCCAATTCGAAATAGTCTGTGACTGCATGACCTGCACAAGGCAGTTTGCTGCCTGCAATGAAGAGCATGCAGTGCCCATCCTCCCACCCAGCCCTAGGGTGCCAGCGTCTTGTGGGACACCCCATGGTAGTGYTGCAGGACACTGAGCCCTGCAGAGYGGGCAGTGACCWGAATCCCYRCTCCTGCCTGTCCTGCACAGGGTGATGAAATCCAACCAGCACAAACCAATGCTTGTGTGRTGACTGTCAAACCAAAAGTCCCAAACCAACTCCCCCAAAGCCTCAGTGGGGCTGTGACAGTGTTGGCACCAGCACTTAGGCTCCCATCCCTTCAGCACTGCCTGGGAGCCAGCCCTCACTGGTGCTGCACTGCACCSCAAACCTTGCTCACAATTTSATGGAGCATCTCATGCCCATGTCARCCCCAGAGAGTCTCTACTCCCTGGGTACAGGCATGAGTCCCCTCAGGCTCCAGCCTCACCAGCCCACTGTGCTATGGCAGTGCCATCATGCCAGGGTCTTCACCCCAAGTGATCTCAGACCAGTGGGACCTCTGTGGAGGACACAAGGTCCCTGTGTACCACACAAAGCTGAGTCCTGGACCAGGTGATGGTGTCAAATCATAGACAGAGCTGGAGAGAGGAACTGTGACCAGACAGGACAGTGACATGCAGGGCCAGTATTCAGATGCCATGTGCGGCAGTGGGCTCTGGGGAGCACCGGCTTTGACGGTGACATTGCTGGTCCTGCTGCAGTCTGTCCCTCACAAGCTGGTGGCAGTGTGGAACCAGGTGCCCTTCAGCGCACCCAGTGCTCAGACTGGCCATAACTGTTCAGGAGGAAGAGCTGGATG